TATATCTATGTATATATGCAGATCATTTTACTGCTAATTTCTGCTGGTGTTTTGAAAGGAGCAGGTAGTGCTTAATTTTTTTCTTCTCATTATTTTATTTCTTTTTAATTTCTTATAACTTTTTTGGTGTTTTTTGTTTTGTTTTAAACCTATTTTGAACGATTATATCTCGTAACCTAAATGACTAATTTGAAGATAACATCATGCAATACAGTAGCCATTGTTGAATCTCTATTACTTTGTTTAGTGAAATTTTGTATCATTTCTGTTCCTATTTTTCTTATTGCTATTTTTTTTTCTTTAAAAATAAAAGATATTTAAAAAATAATTTAAGAACTAGCTATGAGATATGCTTTTGAAATCTCAGTTGGGTTCCGGGACCCCAGATAGTAACATGGTATTAAACTAGAGATAATTAGTTGCTTTCCAGTTGCTGCTCCCTGCTGGAATGGTTTATTTTAAATTCAGTTGAGCCCAGCAAGGAGCGGCTGTACTACAGATTCAGAAACTGACCCTCGCTGTCTTGCCCACATCTCTCACGGATGCTCAACGCTCAGAGGAGAGGATGCTCCTGCGATTTGGGAAACACTGACTGTTGCAGCATCTATTTTATCTGATGTGTCAGGGATTGAGTTATAGACAAGGTGGATTTTCCGAGCAACTGAAGCCTACCACTTTGAGTGCCGGGTATTTTAGAAAATGTCAGGTTTTAGAAAATGAAATAAAATCTGTCTAATGTACAACACTACTTTCCTTTTCTTTTTCCCTGTCCTAAAAATACTTCAACTTTCTTATGGGGAGATTTGCCTGTCCACTCCTGGAGAGGTAGCTAGCCACTTTCGTATCTAGTGATAGCCAAGACTTTGGTGTTGGGGCTCTGATTTCTATCAGTTTCCTGGCAGAGCATCACATTTTATTATTTTTTTAAAATTTTATGTATTTGGTACAGGGTCTCACTGCGATGCTCTGACTTGTAGTGATCCTCCTGTTTCAGCCTCCCCAGCATTGTGATTACAGGCGTGTACCACCATGCCTGGTCTTGGTGGCCAGCTTGGTGTTCCTGGAGGTGGTGTCGATATGGGTGCAAGTGGTACTGGGGATTGAACCAGAGTCCTTGTGCTTGCCTACGCAGGCACTCAGACCGATGAGCTATCTCTGTGGCCCTTCACATTTTATTGTTAAAGATATAAAGTGAGCCATGTCATGCCTAGAA